TTCCTTCCTTCCTCCCTCCCTCCTCTCTCTCTCTCTCTCTCTCTCTCTCTCTCTTTCATGCAGTGTGCTGAAACTCATTATTTTATTCGGGCTATCTGGATGTTGGTATAAATCATGAATTGTGTGAATCAATATTTTGTCATTATAACTATCACTTATCATCGATAATATTACTTATAAATATATAAATATATAAACAACCTTAAATCACCAAGTTTTTTGTTAAATAAGTAATTCTTATTTATATCTTAGAAATTTAGAGTTTTACTTAGGAAAGCGAAATAAAATACGAATCACGTATAAAATATACTTCAGAATTCCAATCTTTACTATACACACAACAGATAAAAAATTCTTTAAAAAATTAGAAAATAATTTTCTTTTTAAGAAAAGACTGAAGATAACTAGAAATCTAAAACGCTACACCTCATTTTATTTGATGCAGCGTTTAATGTTTAACATTAAGCACTTTATTATACTATAAAATAAAATTTACTTGCATTCTGGAAGCTTAATTTGCAATAAACCTATACAATATCTTATGATTCAAATATTTAGAAATTGCTGATGTAGCATAATGCACACGCGAATAACTTGCGCGATTGTCCGTTTTTGTTCGGATCAAGTTTTACAAATTGAGCATATAAATCCCATCGCGACTTCTTGTAGTACGTTGATATAAAGTGAGCATTTCTCGCAGACAACGCGCGACCCTTTTGCAACAGTGTTCTCGACTTCATCGACTTACAATATTGTCAGTCGTATTTCTTCTTGCCTTTTTTTATTTTGCTCTTCTTCTGTCATTTTCACGCCTCTGGTATACAATGGCTGAGTCGCTTTATAGACTTATACTAATAGATTTATAAGTTTCTTGTGGAAATTTTGAAGGAGAAAAAAACGAAAAACTTTTTAAATATGCGTTACATAATGTAACGCGCTTGGAGTTAGCAATAAGTTATAAGTTGCAAAAAATTATCCGCGCACTTAGCATACTTAATGTAACTGAGCGATCGAAAAATATTTGCATGACACGATTGCATTTAAGCCATTAACTTTATTATTACTATATTAATTACTTGTTTTTAAGAACATACATCACATACATTTTTTACAAAAACACTTAATATAATTGCACGAAGAGATTTTGTTAACGTATACATTTTGATTAAATCTTTTCCAAGATGAATGATTCATTTGTATGCTAAGCATTGCCGATAGATAAATTTAACGGAAGAATTTTCTTCCTCCGCGAAATTAAACGCGCTTCCGTTTTTCTCCTTCTAGGCTTCGAGACGATTATTTCTCAGAGCGATTCACCGGGATGCGTCACGAACAGAATAGAATCGCGGCGCCGATTTCACGGTTTTCTCTCCGTAAGCCCCGTCCTCATACTCTACGTATCGTCGATGAAATCCACAGTCTTTCCGCGAACGCGCGTTTATCTATTCGCGACGCGTTCAACCTTCGATCCCCTAAAACGCGATCCATACGGCGCGAAGAAGCACCGATTGGTCTCCCCTTCCGACCTCCGAGATACGATTGACTATAGTCGGTGGATTTTCCGCACGAGACGCGATATCGACGTTCCGGGGATTTCACACGAATCCGACAGTGGGAACCGCGACTATGCGAGATAGGACTTTTCTACGACTCGGCGAAATAAATTGAAATCCCGAAGGAGCCGTGACGGCGGCTGCGATTCCGTAATTTGCGACGTGAAAGAAACTCCGCGGAAGCGGCGGCGTTTAACGTCATTCGCGCGCGGACGCGACGTTGTTCCTTTCCAGCGAAACTATGAAAAATCTCCGCGATGTCTGCCGCCGACGATAAGGCTAATAAATTACCATGCATCCGTCTTTAACTCTTCTATCCGAGTTTGCAGCCGCGTCGCGAGCGACCATTACAACGTACCGCATGAAATATTACGACATAATTCGGTCGAGTGTTACTTGGGTAAATGTGTCAGCATAAATGACTGCTGAATCTGTGCTTATTTCTGTATAAGTGGGTGAAGTGAGGTAATATTTTTTTCTGGAAAGACGTTACGAGTTCTTCTGTGTAATAAATCGATTTTTTATTATATACATATTATATTTATTTAATATTATTTAAAATATGTGTGTAGCTGTCCAAACTGCTCGATTACTTGAAATTTTTGAGCACTAATCTTTATCGCAAGATGCATTTTTCTATTCTACGGTGAACTTTACGGTTCTCAGCGGAATCTTCGGCAAGGAATCAACGAAGAAATCGCGAGGCACGGTCGAGCGGACTACTGGCAATGCGTCGTGTCGCGTCGCACCCAAAACTGGAAGTTCGCAAATTCAATTTCCCGGTTCCGCGCGGCGGCGCATATTTCGCCGCCTCCGCCGAAGTACGCGAAGCGTGTAAAGCCGGCGAGCCGCGCTGAGGAGTTCTCGCCTGTGCCCTCTTTCAGCGGAGTTTCGTCTTGCCGCGAAAAAGGTACGACAGAAAGTTTCGCGCGTGCACCGTACATCTCGCGTTTGCAGTTCGAGTCTTCCTCGTGGATTTCGCTCACGACGCGATTAGGATAAGCCAATGGAGATGATGAATCCTTGAGAAGGATAATTGCAAAAGCAACTTAGAGGAAATTGAAGGGTGGCGGAGTGCTTAACTATTTCTCTGAGTTGCTCAAGCATGTTTGAGCATATTCGTTTCATATTCTTATTGGCATGTAAAGAATGAAATACAGAATAAGAAACACAATAAAGAATGAAGCAAAGCATATATATTTTCACAAGAAAACATTATTTATTAGTAAAATTAACTAATTAAGAAAACATTAAATAATAAAAGAGTTAACACTATCTTATTTTATTACAAGGAAGAATGTATGAACATTATTTCTCGTGAAATGTTTTGTAAATGTGTTTGTCTCATTAAAAAAATGCCATGCTCTTTTATTATAGAGAGATAATGTATACTTATTATAGATTAGAAGTGAAATAATTGTGTTGGATATACATTTTTCTATATTTATAGCGTCGAAAATCAAACTCAGCGAAATTGTGTCAGCTTCAATCGCTTTCTGAAATCCGATACGGTATTATTTCGAGCAGTTGCATCGCGTCAGAGCAAACCTCTGCGCGAGAGAGTCGCGAGAGAGCCGCACACACGGACGGACTCCTTTTGTTTTTCTACGGCCGGCTCGCGCGATGCATTTGGTAGCCGATTCGACCATATAAAGCGACAAATGTCCTTTTACGGTGGCCATTGCCATCCAGGGACCGCGTGCCGAGAGAGTCCAAGTCCGGTATCTTATGCCAGAACTTTCCTAGTACCGGACGAGTCGTTCCTCCTCCAAGGCCCGGGCGTTTGATTAAAATCCTTAATGATCCTCCGTGCGATCACGACGAAATCTAAAAAATCCTTTTTACAACGTGATTCTCTCCGATTTCTATTCTTCTCCGTTTTTAGTATTGCGCATATATCTTGAAAACGACATCGTTTGCTATCAAAATTGCAGATATTTAAAAAAAATTTTTTTAAATTAGATGTTTGTATTTTAATTTAAACCTTCACTTACATAATTTTTAGATAAATTAATTTGTACTTGTATATAACATTTACATATAAGTAACTTCGCATTAATAAGAAAAATTCTTAAAGTTAAAAACATACAATAGATAATAAAATAATATAATAATTGAAGACAGAGTAAAAAAAATATGTTTCTACGCGTGTATGCTTCAAAATATTTCTAATCTCTTCACAATCATGACATTCTTTAGGTTATGGTTTTTAATACAATTTAATATAATTTGATACAACTGGTTTTAATGCATTCACAAACATCATTGTTTCTCCGTAAATCTCCGTCGAAAAGACTGGCTTTCGTTAAGCTAGCGAAAAGAAAAATACTGCTCAACGTGTTGACAGCTCGGTGGAGAAATGAAAGCAACCTTATTCATGATCCTAGTTACCGTCCCGTACGTGGAAAAAACTCGTATTACTCTGTTTAATTTACAAAAGGCATATTTCAACGACAATTATGTTTAAAGCGGCATAACTTTTCTTGCGGGAATTATGCGACTTGCGTTCTATATTAATTTTTGGATATTATTCAACTGTCATATGTATGTTTAAAAAGATGTCAGATATAATACTGCAAATGGATAAAATTTTATTCTTAATTTTTAAGTAGCTTTCTTAAATCATATTTGAATGTTCAATTCATGAATTTAAATCCATTATGTTTTTAAATAAAATATATTTCTTTTCAGGAATAAAACCAGGCTTCGGTCGATCGCAAGCGGATTCTCGGATGCGTCCCTGCGTTTGCAACGGCGAAAAGAGATCACTCCAAGGAGGTAAGTCCTTGTACAGACAGCTATAATATTTTCTCTCGCTCACGCCTGCAATCCAGTCTGATGCGTTTCTCTTCGTCCATTGGCTACACGAATCTCTTTCTTCCACGCGATATACACGCACTCCGCAAGCACTCGCGCGCGTGTCAGACAGACGCTACTCGCGTGCAGCTGTTACTTGAAGCGTGTACGACACATTAAGCATACTTGCCCGACCTGTGTCTATCTATGGTGATTTTATCGATAATCATAACGAACTGTTGCGTTAGATTGATTTTCCAGGAATATTTATTACAGTAGAATTTTGATTATCATAATGCAAAAAGTAATTATGCATATAATTTTATTAGCAAAATTTTTGATGACTCTTCTTTATATTAAATTAATTTTTAGACCAGAAAATTTGAATATTGAAAGTGCTCTTGAAAAGTATTTGAAGTATCCTTAAAATTTGGGAAAATTTCTTTCTATTATTATTTAATAAAGAAACACATTGATTGAGTTATATTTAAAATAAAAGTTATCTATTGAAAATCAAAATGAGTTATAATTATAATATGATATAGTTAATGCTTGCCTTAACCTATAAATTATTCGTGCTTGCGTGCATCTCGATAATTGAATTTTACTAATAAAGCTTTAATGAGTACGCTTAACATAAATGGAAAAAAAGTGCACGAAATTTTTATTAACTTTGTGATTCTGAATGCGCGCAATTAACGGATTTGATGGACCGCAGAATTTGTTGAATGTGAGGGCGTTTGGGCGACCATGAGAAACGAGCGGAACTATAACGATCGCGATCGACAAAATTAAAACGGCTCTTTTTCTCATGTGGTATCAACGTTAATTTGCGTACACGCGGTCTCCACCGATATATTATCTCAACGACGCGAGCGTGATACTTATTTTGATAATCGTCGCGGCGCAACATTGTATTTTATATCGAATAATCAAGCCGCAGGCATCACTTTGCCTCGTATAATTATCGCCGTCCAAAACGAAATGCAAATAAGTCCCCACTACTTCCTCAGCCGTCGGTACTCGAAAAGATGCAAGCATACCGCGCGGTGATATTATCTTAAACGTTGTAATATATTTAATGACGTAAGAAACGGGTTCAAATACACGCGTTTAATGCGTCGCGCAGAACCGCTATACACTTAACATCCGCGAAATCGAATATTTACGAGGTCCATCACTGTTGGAACCTCACCGCGGCTTGCCGGGAGATCGTAGGAAGAGAGAGAGGAAGGGATGATCGAAGGAGAATGAAAAAAGTCAAGCAACTGGGCCGAGATAGTTTATGTCGTTATCCAACCAGACTGGTCCCTGTCGCGTGTGAACTCGGTGTCGGTCCGAGCGGGTGGGTAAGTCGGCGATCGGCAATCAATTGGACTTGTGAAGAGACTGTAAAAAGTCCATTCTAAGAATAAAAGAGAAGAAAAATATAAAAGTCAAAAATACATGTAATAAAAAATAAATATAAAATGTAAAAATCGCTGAGAGACATAAACTAAAATCTTAACAGAAAATTAGCAAAAGTTTTTTTTAAATGTAAAGATAGAATAAAAAATGTGAAGCTGTGGATAATTTGAAAACTGAAAGTATAAAAAAGAACCGAAATCTCTCTTTGTCTGAGATGGATATCTCGAAATTGTTTTTCTTTCATTTAATTTATTTATCGTGTTGTACACCTCTTCGATATGAAACCGCGCGTCGTAGAATCACGCGGAATCATTATTGAGTTAGAGAACTAAATGGATCGTAAAATTGTACCTTTGACGTATCGCGCGTGACTATATACCGGTTATTTGATGCACCAATGAAGACCATAAACGTGCGCGACAGTTAAGTAACGATCGAATCCCTCATACGCGGACGTTCGATCGAGCGGATCTTAATCACGTATTCACAGAACACAATCGCACATACGCGCGATGCGTGCTGAACATCTCCAGCGTTGGGACGTTGGGACGTCAGGTGGGTAACGGGAGGAGGGCTATAAGTGGTTGAAGGCTCAAAGGGAGATAACCGGTCATCGAGGCGATATTGCAACGTATCGATCGATAAGAGAGGCCTCCCTCGTCGTCGCGGATAACCACAAAGCGTTATAATTGTCCGAGCAATCTCTCAGTGGGTGGTGAAGGAGGATCAAAAGGGGGAGAGAAAACCAGTAATCGAAAAAGATGCGTGTGACGCATCCGGAAATTGCGTCAAGCGCCTCATCGCACAGAAAAAAATTTTTATGACGATGAAATAAATAGCGCGCATCGATACATTTCGTTTTCTTTCACAATTTAGATAACTATATATTTAACTTTGAGAGATATAGATACTCGGAACGGATCTCAGATCCAAATAGGTGGAATATAAGTTAATAAATGTAATCATTTTCGCGCCGAACCGAGCTATTTCAATCACTACTTACCGCAAAACATCGATGTCACCGCTGGCGAGGAATTATCCGACGGAGAAACGGAACCGAGGTCGTGCTGACGTTAGCAGGAAGTCAGATTAGGAGCACGTGTCCTCGTCGTGGAATCAGCGCTCGTACTGCTGGTAGTATTTAGCGCGGGAATGCGGTCCGCGGTTCGTGACGGTTACCGGTTGCCATTCCTATCCGCAGTAGACACACGTCGGCGGTTAGGTTCATGGGTATCCTATCAAGGACGAACGCTTGGACACGCATCAGCGGCACCGATCTGTCTTCACTCGCTTTTTCTCGCGTGCGTAAAGCAAAGAAGGACGAGCTATCCTGACGCGCGGGATAAATTATGGGAATTAATTGATAGGACTATCATCGATTGCCTTACGGATAGCCTGATAAGCAGTTCGATGCGTATCTAAAATTTTATCAAACTGTCTGTCTAGAATAGATATGTTGAGGAAAAAATTATTTTATCACAAAGCTTATTACGATTGTCATAATTTTTTATCGATATTACAACGAGTATTAAGTTAATATTTATTATTCTTTAATAGATTTGTAATAATTCATTTTATTGTCGAGAAACATATTTATTCATCCTATTATCGCAATTGTTTTGTTTGAAAGAGATCTTATAAATTAAAGAAGAAAAAGAATTATTTGTACTGTAGAAAAAAATATCAACACAGACTGAACAATATACAAAGAGTGCAGCAACTTCTATATTAGTTGAAGGAATGGCCATTTTAAAGTTGGTAATTTCTCTTAAAGGATCCTAATTTTACGCTTTGTCCTTAAATAACTACTAAACTTCAAGTCAACTCGAGATTCCGAAGGCCCGCAGGGAGGGAAGCCACCCGTTGCAAAGCGGTGCACTTTGATCGTATTCAAGTTACGGATTCCCCGACTGGGTAGGTCGCGGCTAAAACGGGGGTTGACATTTCCCCTTACTCTGTCTCGGGGATCTCTCGATCTTGCTCTCTCTCGATCTGCTCTTTTGATCCCCGTTCTTTCCCCCTTCTCTGTATCTCCTGGCCTCTCTTGGACCCTCTCATCGACGGATGTGGCAGTGACTAATTATTTAGGGTGAGCTTCACGAGCTCTTCCCTTTCTATCTTCGTGTCTTTCTCCTTGATATTTTCCTCCCTTTTCGTTTCGTTTCGTTTGTCGCGAAAAAGAAAGAAAGAGAGAGAGAGAGAGAGAGAGAGAGAGAGAGAGAGAGAGAGAAAGAAAGAAATAGAGTTCCATCCTTTCTTCACGGCCATTTATTTTTCCCCTTCAGACTGCATTTCTGCGGAGCCAAACGAAACACTTATATGGACTTCGTCACCGGCGAACGCTCGTTTCGTGCCGGTGTATACCGCTACATCGCGGAGACCATTGTTTTGCACCGGTTAGGCCGAACTCCGGCCGAGGTAGGACTCGCGCATCGTTCTTATTAGCAATTCAAATTGGCGGCAATTTTTTGAGCGCATTTTTGACCTCCTGTATCGGGAGGCCCGCTCCGCCGCGCCGCTCCTTCGGCTTTTGTCCCAGTGTACACGCCGAGCGCGCCGAAACTCCCTCTCCTTTATTAAGGCCGCCCTCGCCATATTAAGGACCACGCGCGCATTTAAGGACCTCTAGTAATAATTGGGCTCTAAGATCCGTGGTGCCCGCCCGCGCGGCTATCTTTTGCTCACTGCATTTCTCTGTCTTCCTTTCTTCTTTTTCCGTCGCGTCGATGCGACGACGAATGGAATCGGCAGTCTGTAAATCGTGTCGCGTGTTCGTGAAAGTCTTGGATTTGCGAAGCAAAACGTGCAATTTCCGTGAAATTGCATTCACGCATTCTTTAGCGGATTCCTTGTACTTTATGTATCAAATTTCGCGCTAACGCGGTAATTGGTTCGCGGAAATAATTGCAAGCGCCAAACTTACCAAAGCATGCGTAAATTATAACTAACGCAACTGTTGATTAAATGATATAAAACACTTTTTACTTTTCCAAATTAATAACACTTGAAAGTAATACTTTGAAAAGAAACTCAATCGCGTTTTAATTATTATATTCGCGAATCTATCATTTATTGTTATATCGCATACAATAGCATGATATATTTAATAAATATATGGATACGTGTCAATGTACGGATAATACAAGAAATACACGAATAAATTTCGTTCTGGAAAAAGAGTAGAGGATTTGCGAAACAGCTTCCGCCATTTCTCGACGCATTAAGCATTTCTTATCCGGACTGGATTTACTTTCTTAAAGGTACTTAAATTCGACGGTGCCACTCGTCCCGCTCTCGACGATCAACAAGAAAGTCAATATTTTTGTGCATTACATCATGCCCTTCCCGTCCCATTACGTCTACCGTTATTTTTCCGATAGAACGTTGGAAATTGGAAAGTTGGAACGGTACGGAAGTGCATCGAATTTTATTTGCAAAAATTCGTCCTTCCTTCTCGAGCTCTTCGAGGCTCTCGCGAAGTCCAAAGGTAGCAGATATTGTTTGGCGTAACGATTTCTCGTTGTAGGATCGGAGTTCGGCGATTCATCGAAGATACGACTTAAAACAATCGT